ACTTTAATAACCGACTCAGAAAGTATTATTCAAAAATACTGTGTACCTTTTATTTTAATTAACACCATAAAAATAATCTTTCAATTTTGACATTGAAATGTTTTGCAACTAGTAAATTTTCATGGAAGATATATGATTAACAAATATGCTCAAACTACGACTGAGAGGAAATGATAACACAGTTGTACCTGTTGTTTCTCATAAAGAGTAATGCAGAAAATATTTCAACTGGATCGAAATATTTCAACTATTAAATGAAATTCTCAGAGAGTAGTTAGATATCATGAGAAATATATACACGTGGTGCACCCAGTGTTGTATTTGTTTGTGATAGAAATATTTTGAGTCAACCCGACTGATGTATTTTAAATAAGAAAAATAAAAGATTTGCTGAATATTTTCTTAACATTGTTTCATTACAAGATGCAGTATTAAATCAATGAAAGTGCAGGGTGTTTGTGTACTAGGGGAAGTGGAAAGTAACACCTGTGTTATTAAGACTTGTAATTCGACTCAAAAACGTGTACATTACTTGTAAGTAAGTCGATAAGGAAAGGCAGTGAAAGCATTGTTGAAGACTTGTGATCAAGGGTATGGTTGAAGACGCCTAACTCGAGTCAGCGTGAATGTTTAGGAACTAGATGCAGTCTATTTCTTCCTACTGGTACTGCATTCTGTCTGAGGAACAATTTGACAATGAGAAGAAGAATGGGGCGTATGCTCCTGTACAGAATAGTGAACATGGAGTAGCACAACCGAAAGCAAAAACCCCTAAAATCCTGGGGCTCTGGAAGTTTCCAGGTTCTCAGGATACATGCTCTACAGGGCGTGAGTACAAGTTAAGCCCGTAGACGCATTTCTTGGCTACTAACTGCTGTTAGGGGTGTAACCACACGTTAAGATTCACTTTAACCTACACACTCGGATGAACTTTTGACTGGTGGAACATGCCTGACCTAACATTGTAATCTGGACTTTTATACAAAGGATCAAGTCCTGAATGCTTCTCGTTATCCTGTTTCTTAACTATCCACTTCTTGTTGTTGAGTATTCCTGAAGCATTTTCATTTGCTTGAGAGACCACCGGCACTAGTGAAGACAATGATCAAAAGTCTTAGGAAACAGGATCAAAGGACCTCCTCCAAGCCACCAAAGGTTATCACGAACCTGCCCACGTTATAGACAAGATTAAGGTAGCGAGAAGTTATTTTCTCGACTGACTCTGTGTAAGCTGTTCATTTTGTATATAATACTTTAACATTTTCTGTGTAGAAGGTAGGACTTTATATAATGTTTTTATTTTCAACATATCCGGTCGATGGATGTTTATGAATCTATTAATTCGAAAAGGCTTGGCATGGCCAGGTGATTAAGGCGCTCGACTTGCAATCTGCGGGTTCGAATCCCCTTCCCACAAAACATTCTCGCTCTTTCAGCAGTGGGGTGTTATAATGTGACGGTCAATTCCACTATTAGTTGATAAAGGAGGAGCCGTGGGTGGTGATGACTAGCTGCCTTCCCTCTAGTCCTTCAATGCTAAATTAGGGACGGCTAACGCAGATAGCTCTCGTGTAGTCTTCTACATTCATGAGAGTATGCTGGAGACAGGGACCTAACAGTTTTGTGGTACTTTTTGCAATCGGTTTCTTTCACTTTGTTACTTATCAGTATGGTTTTCCACACTCAAAGAGACGTGGAAATCATGAATTCTACATAAAAGGTTCGTTAAATGTAAGTTGATCTTTTTTAGTAATGGTACCCTCGCTCTTTCATTCCTATGCACGAATGTGAAACAGCAGGGAGTTAAAATTTGTTTTGATGTGTCTGTATATAAAATGTATTTCCTTTTTAATTTTATGGATGAATTTCTTTATTGTGTGCATGAATGTTTCACGTGACTTCCCCACCCGCCCGTTCACGTAAACGGATGTGCGTGTGTGTATTTATTTATACACGCTTTAACTGTACGTATCTTAAATCTTTATAACACATTTTTTCGTTCCTTATTTTATTGTGTCGAATATCACAAGCTATAGTTTTGCTTAGATGTAAGTCGAAAGAGTTTTGATCTCTTAGATATGTATTTTTGTTTAAACGTTGTATCAGACTGCCCTTTTCGCGAGGGATCAACATAAAATATTTGTTAAAGTTGATTTTAAACATGTAATTCATAATTGAAGGGTTTTATTAGTTTTACTTTTAATACTATTAGTCTGTTTAATGTTATAACAAGCTGTATCTATGTTTTGCTTTTGGTTTGGCTTTCTTCATCTTCTTTTTCTTTAGTTTTACTTTTTGTGCTTGTGTGTATTTTCGTATATTTTAATATTTCTTTCAAAATTTATACTACATACTGGAGGGATTTACACATTTTGTTAAAAGTTTAGAATAAACGAACTTTACACTCCAGATAAATATAAAAGAATATTATCATGTTATGTTCAATATCAAAAGATGTGCTTTTCGCATTGTTGTATCTGTGTACAGTAGCGTGTCATTTTTATGTAAATTTCTTTTGGTTATTTTGATTAGGGTATCATGGAATGTATTGTATTTAAATATTATAGAGTAATTGAGTTGCACTTCTTTTTTAAGGATTGTATTGTCTATGCGACATGTTGTACATGTTTTTGGGGAAAAAGTTAACGTGCTTATTGATCAGTTTACGAGTTTAAGATCTGGGTAAAAATCGACAGGAGATAAAACCAATCAAGTAATGACGACAATTTATTTCTGTAAATTTAAGGGGGATAAATTTATTTTTCTCCAATAAATGGGGTTATTAATGTAATGACGATAAATGGACACTAAAATTAAACAAAAAAAGATGTTTAAATTTAATTATTTTTAAGCAAAAACCAACATACGCCCTAACTGATGAAACATGAACTTTTTTACTTTAATATAAAGTATTTCTTATTCGAGTGAGACAAAGATGACATAGATAACGAATATTTAAAGTTCTAAAATCATTAAATGATGTGTTTGTTTTGTTTGTTTTTTAATTATGCACAAAGCTACACAACGGGTATCGAAACCCGGTTTCTAGCGTTGTAAGTCCGCAGACATACCGCTGTGCCACTGGTGGGCTAAATGATGTGAGGTCCTCAGCCTGTAATATGTCTCTTTTGAACTTGACATACTGGGAGCAAAAACTTATATTAAATGAAAGCACTGGATGTTCTTACGTTAAAAAAGAGAAAGGAACATATGACTGATCAACAAGTGTATGATTTCGCTGACTAAATCTGGTGATAGATCAACTGACAGTTTAATGAAGGTTTTACAAAGTTAAAAAAATCAAAAACTTCTAAATAGAGCTAAACATAACTTTTGTTAAGATATTAGAGCTTCAGAATCAGTTGAATGGAAACTTATCTCTTAATGAACCCGGATGTAATGAAACATGATATTTACTGAAAATCAAGTTATATTCTGGCATTTTATCGGGTGCAATACTCTAAATTTGATATTTAATCCTATCGGTCAAAAACTGAAACAAGATGATGATTTGGAAACTAATATGATGAAAAATAGCACGAGATTATTGTTTATAATAGCTATTTTGTATCGAGAATTTGGACTATTTAATGTGTGTACATAGTGCGGTGAATTAATTAATTAATCAATCATCTGCGTCTTATCAGAACTGTTCTGGGAAAAGTTTCCAATTTTGGCATGAGCGTATTACTGAACATAACCATGTAATGGATATATATATATATATTAGTTATCATATTTTTATAAACACTCCTATTGCTGATGTTTTAAATTTAACTTTTGAGTTTTTCCATTGTCATCATTTATCGTGACAAATTTGTTACTGCAGTGTTGTGTTTTATGTTTGCTTCTAATTCTTTACATTTTAATTGTGATATTCTCGCCATTGTTCATAAGCAAAGAGTTTTTACTTACAACGTTCATATTCAATTAAATCTTAAAGCCAACTATATCTGAAGGTCTTTGATAATTGAATTCCATTCCTTATGTTGATGTAGTCTCATTATATTGAAAAAGAATGACTCAAACAACGGCAGTCAGATTTAATAACATTTATACACTTGCATCTTTGAATAAGATATACAAAACAAAACGTTTGCTAAAAGTAACTAATCGACATATTATTTATGTTTCTAGAGCTTCAGGACCGCCAAGGTTTAAGTAGTTAGAAGTTTACTAAGTGGTTTGTAGAAAAGTTGTGTTTTGTATTCCGGTAAACTCCGAAGTTAAAGCTGATTCGTCACGAACAAGGGAAAACATCAGAATAAAAAAAAAAGGTAAATAAACTCAACTAATCTTGATATTTTTGCTCATTGACTGACTATTAGAACTGGCTCCGTCGAAATACTTTAATAACACGTTAAGCCTGTCATTAATCTGAATTTAGCCTCTGTATTTTCTTCCTCTATACTATTTTTTACCACCTGCTAGCATGGGTGTCCGCAGAAATTCTTTCACGGGGGAGGACAAAGTCAAAGTCAAGGGACGATGGATCCGCCTTCGAAGTTTTGCCATTGCAGTCAAGAGAATAGGCAAGCTCCCACAGTCAGATTTAATGGTTTTAATATTTATAAGTTTAGTTAAGTCATACTGCAGACTTGCAGCTATATACATCCTCTATAATTGTAAATTTTGGTTCGTTCTTTTAGGTTTTTAACCTTAAAGAGTAATTCCACCTTATATAAAACAACTGCTTATATGAATACAGTAACTTGAGGTTACATAAGCGCAGTATTTCAATTACATTTAAAGTGTATGTATGGTAAGAACAACATTTAAGGTTAACAGACCTTAATCTACACATTCATTTACTGTGTATGGTAAATACAATATTTAAATCTAATAGACCTTAATCTACACATTTATACTATAAAAAAGCAAATAAGAAGCATTTCTTAAAACTTAAGCAACGGCTTTTATGGAGGTTTTTATACTCCTGCCGCATAATATGATGGTCAAGCTAAAAGCACAAACATCATAAACTTTCAACTTCAACTTTTAATATGAATTAAATTGAATCTGATGCAAGATCAGATCTGAGTATTACATTAAAAAAATCAGTATTGAATATATTTTTGGTAGGTGTCTGGAGATTTTAAGTAAAGTTGCTGACAAACCTTTATCAGTCAGAAACTGCACATCTTGTTAATTATTCAGAGTTAGCAACAACTAACTTAGTAGTTTTTTTCAATTATACTATCGGTAATTACGCAGTTTACAATAATCAGAGTTATGTGTTAGAAATGTTTGATTATTTCAGTCTTCTGTTCTGAACAACAATGCTAAAACTATATGATGTATGAAAGCAAATTCAACATTTATACATTAGTTTTTTTATTCCATTACTAGTATAATTTTGTAATTCATGTCACTAAGGCAGTATTGTCAATAATGTTCAGATGAGTCGAAACTAAATATATTTGATAACATAAAACACGCCTACCTTGTTCACTTACTTTTGGTTTATATTTTTTACCTAATTTTCTATGGATATAAGATTATATTATGTAAGTTCATTGAACTCGTGCATGTTCTTGTGTGCACATGAATGTGATCTTGTGAAATTGATCCCAGATAATAAAAAAAAACATCTGCACAGCACATATGATCTCTTGAAAATCGCGCATTGCACTGTGACAGCTAAACTCGAGTAGGAATGTTCTCTCATGTTGGACGCTGATATTTCATACCATGACTTTGTAATCAGGATATGAGGACCATTATATGACGTAAACATAAATACCATTTCATATAAATTTATTTCAAATTTCACATCGAATAAAATACTTTTGAAATGTTTGTACAGTCGTGAAATAACACAGGAACGATCAGCTTTAAACTACATTATCTAATAAACACTAAGAAAACAACAGAATAAATTATTTTGTTATTATTCGGCAAATGCACTTGTTACTGAAAAGTCGCCATTCATCTATACAAAGAAAATCTACAGTAATTCAGTAACGTTATGAATCTATTCAACCTACTGATTGACAAATTTGTTTTTTAATAACAGTTTTAGCTTGCCATGCTTATCATGACGTAAATCGTTTTACGTATGTTGAATGAAAATATGTAAGCACGAAATCAACAAGTCATATTATAGGAACCCCTTCTTTTTCCCCCTTGCTGTTCACATAACATGATAGGAATTTTTACATTGTTAGCAAGCACAACCGGAAACTAGATATCTAGTATTTTCAATACACACTCCACCCTACTTTCCCTCTGGATTTGCAGTCATCTAGAAGACAGTAATTGAAATATTTATCTGTATGGAATTAATATAATTAATTTTTAAGATAATAAAATAACAACTTTTTATAAATGAATATTTCCTTTGGTATCTGTGGAAAACAATATTTCCAATTTCTTTTTTGGGATCAATGTTTTATTTTTATGAAATTTCATTTTATTATGACCATATATGTTACACATAGTATATAGAGTAAAGCCATTTATGAAGGACAGAAATTGGTAAAATAATCTAAATTCCATAAAAGTTCCAGTAAACTGGTACAAAAATCTCAGTACTTCGGATTTTCTTTTCTCCCTTGTAACTTTAATACTAGCATAGAAAAAAACTGGTGTATATAACTGTTAGTATATATATATATAATCCAAGAATTAAGATTGTACTGTTTTATGATGATAAATAAACTTTAAACTTTAGAATTTTAAAGTGGGTTTCGACTTTTGTTGTGAATAGAACGTATATGGCTCATTTTGAAACTTTGTGCTTACCTAAACAAAGAAACGTTTTTTGTTTTGTTTTTTATCGTGTAAGTTTGTATTTTGTAACGAAACTATTTACAAAAATGATTTGAAAAGAATGTACTGAAATAACTCAATTTCTTAGTCGCTGTTTAACAGGTATATTGATTTTCAAAATTTATCATGACTACCTAACCTACGTTAATTTATTCAAGTATATTTCAACAAGCAAAAGTACCCGACCCCAGTGACGGAAAAAGTTTAAGTTAATCAATCAATTTGAATTACTTCATGGACTTTGAAAATATTAATTGTGTTGCACTCTTGGTTTTACTCAAAGCCAAAGCTCTGAGCTACATATTCCGCCCACCGCGAAAAGTAATTGTTGAGCATTTCGGTCATGCTAAGAGCCGCTCAATAATGACATATGGTAAATCTACATTTTTGTTCTTTAGGTTACGTCACATTTTGAAATGTGAATGATGGTGTGATTAATTCCTAACAATTCATTGTAGAATGTCCTGCTTGCGAAAATACAGTTTCGTATAAACATTATTCATGCCTGGTTTCGTTTGTTTTGACTTTTCCGGAAAACTACACGAAGGCTATCTACTCTATCCGTCCCTAATTTAGCAGTAAAAGACTAGAGGGAAGGCAGCTAACTAACCACCACCAAATTGGGCCACGTTTTCGAACTAATAGTGGGATTGACCGTCATATTATAACGCCTCCACTGCTGAAAGGGCGAGCATGTTTGGTGGGAGGGGTATTCGAACCCGCGACCCTCAGATTATAATTATTCATGACTGTTCTCCAGTCATTTCAAAAGTAAATGTTGAGCTTTGTCTGCGTGCGCAACTTTTCAAACGGGAGACAGACACCACGATTCAGATAACACATTACTATGGAATCACGTGACTAATCTATAGTGGTAGTTCAGGGTTTCATATTGTATATGCTGCCCTATGTAATCTCTACATCTGCCACCGTTTTCACCCCTGTGTGTTTGTCGAAAACAGCTGAATTGATTTATATGAAAGTTGGTGTAAGTTTGGACTATAATCCAACTTAGAAGTGTTTAGGTATTGGAGTGCCTTCTTGTCTCAGACTTGTAATCACATTGTGATCACTGTCTTGACATAGGGTAGACTAAGGGTTGGCTGTCAATACGTGCGTTTCAAGTGGACTTACAAATCATATGCAGTTTTTGTATGTACTTGTATACACATAAGGAATTTTAGGACAACACAAAAAGAACTAGAGGGGCACTCAGTAGAGCGCATACCTCCGTCACGCAGCGTTGATCATATTCGGCTCTCAAGAAATAAGAAAATGTGTTCGTGTGTCCGTCGTTATAAACGAACACGGACCATTTTTGTCAGGACAATGAGGAATAACATTATACATATGTCAGCCCAGATCAATCAAAATTCGATCAATTTTGACTGAGTTATAGAGCAAAAATAGTGTGAAAAATCGGTCCCCATGTTAACAGATAGGATTTTTTTATTTTCATGACCTTGCTGTGACCTTGATCCTCCAAAAACTAATCACTTTTAAGTTGGATCATAGTCCAAATGTATACTAACTTTCGTCCGAATCGATTCAGCAGTTTTCGAGAAATATTGCTGACAAACACACACACGGGGTGAAAACATAACTTCCGTATACCTTTGATGGCGAAGGTAAAAATACCGCATACTAAAAACTGATTAATAAATGTACATTTTGCAGTACTCCATGTTAAAAACTGAAACCAAAGCACACTGGTAACATCTCTTACGTAAGTGAAATGAAAGTGTTTATTTGTGGGTCTGGCGCAAGTAGAAAATGGTGAAATACGTGTCTCCGGATCTTGACCTTATTATAAGCAAACAATTAGGACCTTGAATAAAAAAGATAACTGACTGCCCCTGCTGTTGTCCTTAATAACCACTGAAATTCTGCAAAGCATACTCTCAAACATATCCTGATAATTGTCTAGTGCAATTCGTTTTCATTGTTCTTTCAAAGGTTTAGCCGTTTGATAATGATGGAAGGATATATATATATGCTATAACCTTGAATATTGACTCTTCCAGATGATTTCATAGAGTTACGATATTGATCCTGAGTGAGTCATTGTAAGACAATGATATCGTTTCGTTGAAACCAAGCGGTGGGTCTGACGTGCTTTGTGGCAGAGAGTATTACAGTGATTTAATAACACATTGAAATGCTTGTTAAAAACAAACAAGCAAAAAATTTGTCAGGACCCAAGGATCTTATTTATTGTAGATTTCTGGATATGGATGGACGTTTAGTCGTCCGGACACTTCCCGGATAGGTCACCCGTCCATTTCAAGGAATGCAGTCCATATCACATTTTTACATAGTTGTCCAACGTGTTATTCACATCCTTGACATCAGGTTCGACCTAGGTCATCATTCCGAGAGTGGGTGAAGTGGCTCTCAACATTCTAAAAAACTCGTGATATGACGTCAAGATTCCAGTCCGGACTGCTTTTACACCAAAACAAAGCGGCGCTGAAAATGTTTGGGGATAATATAAGGTTTGTTTTAGCCGTGTCAGAGTATCCACATTCCTGGATAGTACACTGCATACACTTTATTTTTTTACATGTTAGTATGTTAATTGGATCGATAAGTTCGAACAATTTTTTCACGATCGTAATAAGTAAACATTCGACAATCGCTTATAAAACTACGACCTTAACTGTTATGTATATATAGTACTATCAACTTCCTGATACGATAAATACTTTCATGCATAGTAGGTTTTATGACCACATATTACGACTATTGTTTGTTTGTTTGTTTTGAATTTCGCGCAAAGCTACACGAGGGCTATCTGCGCTAGCCGTCCCTAATTTAGCATTGTAAGACTAGAGGGAAGGCAGCTAGTCATCACCACCCACCGCCAACTCTTGGGCTACTCTTTTACCAACGAATAGTGGGATTGACCGTCACATAATAACGCCCCCACGGCTGAAAGGGCGAGCATGTTTGGTGTGACGGGGATTCTATTACGACTACTGCACGTAGATGTTTTCCAGTGGCTTCTTACCTCTTCATTCTCATTTCTGGTATTTCATGAAGTTTGGACGTATTGCATACATAACAATATCGTTAATATACCTATTGGTGTATCTTTTAATTGCCCCTCAGTGGCACAGCGGTATGTCTGCGGACTTACAACGCTAAAATCCGGGTTTCGATACCCGTGGTGGGCAGAGCACAGATAGCCCATTGTGTAGCTTTGTGCTTAATTACAAACAAACAAGTAATTAATTCATACTTACCGAGTTCCCTTGCAACACACGCTTGGTGAGACATGTCCCATGCTCAAGATGTGTTTGAAAGGTCTTGGTGGACCGTTTTTTATATATATATACCATAAAAAATGCTGTATTTACGCATGCATTTTTCATAATTAGAAAACCAATAATTCAACTGCACCATTTATCAAAACGCTTTCATATTTTCAAGATTCGGTCCATTATGTAAAACTTTCTTTCTGGAAAAAATAGTTCCAAAAATCAAAGTTAATCTTCCTTCATTTTTATTTAAATTTATATAATTATATCTTATCAGTATAAGAATTTTTCTTTGTGATTTTATCGAGAGGATGGACGGTTTTAACTGATTACTAAGAAGAGTATTACCTATCAATATAACAATTGTCGTTCTTTTATCTACGTTTACAAACTTGATTTTTGAGCTTTCCCCACATTTCTGGGAAAAATTACTTAACTTTTTGTGTATAGGCTTTGGACTCTCACAAAATATAAACACATTTTGTATTGTATTATGTACTTAAGGTAAAGGTACCAAATTTTAATGCCGCCATCCCTACTTTTGAACTGCTGATCAGAAGAAAGGTAGCCAGTATCACTCTTCTACCTACTATATACGCTAATTGGCAATCAAATTACTTTCTTGCAGAGATGACAGCGGATAACGTCCAGGAATAGAAAGGTGTATTTTCGGTCAGCGAATCAGATAATGGACCAAGGTTTCACCTGCCCCTGCACTCAAGCATGAGTAGGCGGAGATCACGTGCAAGATCGCGTTTCGTTTTGTATTAAAAGCCACGTTCTCCTTTGTTTAGTAGTTTTTGCTTAATTCGAAACTTTTAGTATACCTAGAGATTATGGTAAGATTTTTTTATTTATCTGTAAAGCTGTTTGTAAGAATTAACGTTGTTTTAGTTTAGCTGAAATCTTTAAGTTTCTTTTTTTATATGTTTAAACATTGGGTTTATTTATATTTTGTAGTTTCACCTAGTTGTAGTTTATATTACACTAGACTAGTGAGAAAAAGTTCAATAAATTTTCACTTCCTTTCTCTCTCTCTCGTCAGTCTAACAGCTACAACCCTTGTTATATTTATAACTGTCTTTTTGTTGAAACTTGTTAATAAATATTGTTCTTGTATGCCTTCCACGATTCGACTCTTTCCTCCTAACAAATTCAGTTAGAAATATCACACCACTATGCAGTGCCTGGCCCATCTTGAGAAGCCCCCAAAAAATGGGGAGTCAAAAGGGTTTTTAGGCATTTAGGTTCGACTAAACCTATTTACTTAGAAACGTATACATGTAAGTAGCCGTTCAAAATAATAACCTAAGTTCAGATTTTGAAAATGTTCATATTTAGTTCCCATAATGTGGCTCAAAGGTTTGGTAGGTCTAAGAGGATCCGCAGATTTAGATAAATCTTATCATTGATATCTTAGAGATTGTTCTAAATAATTATCAACGTTTAGATGTTTGAAATGTTCATACAAGAGCTCTCAAATGAGGGAACAATTTTTGAAACCTCTCAGGATTGACTGCATAGATTTACATCAAGATTGACAAGAATAATTAAATGGTCGTTTAAAATAAGGCGTGAAAATGATTTATTTTCATTGTTGTTGTTTTTCCTGAATACTTACAAAGGAAGTCGACATATAACTCAAGATTGACAAGAATAATTAAATGGTCGTTTAAAATAAGGCGTGAAAATGATTTATTTTCATTGTTGTTGTTTTTCCTGAATACTTACAAAGGAAGTCGACATATAACTCTTGCACTACTATCTGCGTTAATAGTGCGTCGACAGTTCATATATTATAACACATTGAAATAATTTTGTTTACCATTTTATACAGAAGTTCCAAAGATGAAACAAGTTGGCAAACAAACAGAGACAGGTAGAAACACTTAAAACACTTGAGATTATAATCCTGAAATACTTTTTAATGTCGTACACTTAAAAATTATCATTTTCAAGTGTATCTTATCAAGTCGTCTTTACCGACTCACCCCGCCTTGTTATTAGTGTTTGTTTGTTTGTTTTTGAATTTCGCGCAAAGCTACACGAGGGCAATCTGCGCTAGCCGTCCCTTATTTAGCAGTGCAAGACTAGAAGGAAGGCAGCTAGTCATCACAACCCACCGCCAACTCTTGGGCTACTTTTTTACCAACGAATAGTGGGATTTACCGTCACATTATAACGCCCCCACGGCTGAAAAGGCGAACATGTCTGGTGGGACGGGGATTCGAACCTGCGACCCGCAGATTGCGAGTCGAGCATCCTAGCCACCGGGCCCTGTTATTTGTTATTAACAATATAATATAGAAAAGAAACGTCAAGTTAGACGTGGGTACTCTAGAACATGTTTCCAATGTTTTATAATTTAGTAAGAGAATGTCAAAATTTAAAGCAGAACAGTTTAAGTTTACGCTTATAGAAATTATTCTGAATGCTAGCGCTTATAAATAAAGCATAGCAGATGTATTTTGAGGGGAAAACTAAGTTTCAGTGCTTATTGTACTCGAATTATGGGTTCAACAAACACAGTATCTGATTTCAGCTATGGAAATAAAAGCCATATTTCGAAGTTTTTCAGTCATATTTCGAGGACAAAAAACACTTTAGCTGGATTTCGGTTTTTAGAACAATGGAAGTTCTTAATTCAAATTTTAATGGTGAAACCTTGAGATCTAAATAATTCCAATGCAATGTCAAAGCTCAAGACTTGAAGCTATGAGTTTAATTTTGGCCGTATAGATTAAATTTCGGGAAGACGTATAAAATAAAACTTCGAGGCATAAAGTAAAGCAAAACAGAGTTGAGCTATTCAGCTTTACAGTGGAATTTAATTATAACTGAAAATAACAAAGCGCCAACTATTGGGCTACTTTGTTTTAGAGCAAAGTCATCTTTAGTTATCTGTTATGTCCACTGCGGGGGGAAATCGAACCCCGGATTTTATCGCTGTTCCACTGGGTGACTCTCTTGAGCTACTCTAATTGATAACGCACACACGAAGCGTGATTTTATGACAACTGGACACAAAACGTGAGCACTCATATTCACCATCCATCATGCTAACTATTAGGCTACGCCCAACCCTTGAGTCTCAATATTTACTATTTATACTCACTTAAAACCAACCTTGACTTGAGAAGATCTAACGACAGTTGCTAAAAACTTGGAATTTCTTAATATGTTGGATCCAGCTGTTTTATTTGATGGGCTCAAACTCTTATAGTAATAATCGAAAATGGATAGTTGAATCATTTGTAGCACAGTTTATCTCTTTAGGATGTTCTTGTTACTGTTCTGGAGGGTTTCTAGTCTGACTTCCTGCATTTAACCGACCAACTGGCGCCAAAAAAGTGATTTGAGCTACTGACGAGATAGTACGGTATTTTCTATTAAAATCTGTCATTGTTTCCCTTATCGCTATAAATTATACATAACTTGCCTTGTCAGTAACACACCAGTACGATTCATAAAGCTTAGAATGTTCTGTTCACCGGGTCAGTCGAGGTCGTTACTTGTAAAAATTGAAATATAAATAAACAGTGCCTATTTATTTTTAATTCAGTCTGCTGAGATGGAAAAGAAAATAACACATCTACTTGTTTATGTTTGTCTGTCTGAGGTCAAAATAATGTATTCACACATGTCTGCCTACTTAAGTTTTCGAGTTTTTGTTTGTTGTTAAGCACAAAATGCCACATTGAGCTATTTGTTCTTTGGGTATCGAAACCCATTTTTAGAGTTATAAACCCTTAGATTTTCCTCTGAACCATCAATTTTTCTCTTTTTTAACAATAAAACATTTTGCTTATAAACAATTTGACGCTCTTATTGCAAGGCCTACCTCTTCTAATTTAATGCCCCCCAGTGGCACAGCGGTATGTCTGCGGACTTACAACGCTAGAAACCGGGTTTCGATACCCGTGGTGGGCAGAGCACAGATAGCATTTTGTGTTAGCTTTATGCATAATTACAAACAAATAAACAAATCTAATTTAACACCAGTAACCCCTACAATAAGTTTAAGTTCACGATTTAAATATTATGTTTTATGGAGGTTTTTATACTCCTGCCGCATAATATGATGGTAAGCTAAAAGCACAAACATCATAAACTTTCGACTTCAACTTTTAATATTTGAAAAATGTGCAACAGGGTTTATTATGGGCCTATACCACCGCATTTGAATTGTTCACCTACTTAAAACATTTTGTAAATTTTTTCAAGTTTTTTTTTCTGAAATGGGAGTATATTATTAATATCATTTTTAAAATCTCAAGACAGACATATTTGGCTATCTGCTGTGTCCACCGCGAGGAATCGAACCCCGGATTTCAGCATTGTAAGTCAGTAGACTTACCGTTATGAACAAACTCAGGAATGGAATGTTCCAAATACAGACAAGGTGAAACAAACGAAATTATTCTAAAGAATATTTCTGATACTTTACTGTTTTATTTTTTTAATTTATGTAAAGTTTTATAAGCATTCTAAAAATGAGTTAGTGTTTCGGTGAACATAGTGTTTAAGTTCACTCTCTAATAAGTCAGATGACGTTTCCACTAAATAGTTTTCTTATGCCTCGTTGTTTCATTAATAATTAATTTAAATATTAATTTTTCAAGTATCGTTTATAATGAGTTTGTAAAACGTATTACTAGTCCTTACTTACACACATTTCCTTTGTTGGGTAATGTTTTAACAGCGACAGTTCTTGCAACAAAACACAGAAATAACTTCTATACTTGGGTTCCTTTCTATGTTGTATTCGAAGCCATCTTGCATTGGGAAGGATTTCGTTCAAGTGATTCTCGGAACCTGCTATAATAAAAGCAACATTTTAGTTGTTTTACACTTTTTTGAACTAGAGAAAAGTGAAATTTTTGAAATTATGAACATAGTAAAACAGAAGTGTTTTTGTAACGAAACACCATCGAAAATAAAAAAGTCTACTTAAAAACACTTCTGACATCTATTGGCTAAAATTCTAACAAATAACGCAACGTTTTTATCAGTCAAAAAATATGTATACATATATATCACTAAACAGAAAATCTTCATTTTGCAGTGTTAATAATTATAATACCTTAAATAATTTGGATCAAACAGAGAAGTTAATGTACTAATAAAATCAGAATAAGATGCTATATATGTATATATGTTTGTAATTAAGCACAAAGCTACACAATGGGCTGTCTGTGCTCGAAACCCATATTCTAGCGTTATAAGTTCGCAGACATGCCGCTGTGCCACTAGGGGGCCTATATATGTATATATATATATATATACATACATACACACACACACGCACGTGCGTGTGTAAAACCAGCATTATATGCAAACAAATTGCAAGCTAAAATACAAAGTAAAGATTGTAGAAATTCATCAGAAGTATCAGTCAGTGTAGAGCAATTTGCAGACAACGTATGAAGATAACTCCGACGTATAACACGTTATCGAGGTTTTCAACTTGACGAATTCTCCTACTCCTCACCAGTACTTAGCGTCTACTCATCCCGTTTTTTGTTGTTTTCATGTTGAATGCAAATGCTGTCAAATGATACTTATTCTAGTAAGAATTGTGAAGTAATTAAAATTATTTAGTTACTGATATGACAGAGCGTGCTAAAGCTAGAAATCCTAAGATTCGTGATTCGCGTCTCGTTGCCGTTTTACACTTTGGGGCCGTAGGTGCGCTAAAACAGTGACGGTGAAATCTCAGTTAGGTCAGATAAGAGTAGTCCAGAAGTTTGGTGGTGGGTGCTGTTGACTAGTTTCCTCCAGGCTTATCCTGAAGTTTCTGCAATTAGCCAGAACATGGATTCAGGATGGAAATATTGGAAAGATAAATTTATTGTGAATTAGTGGAGTACAGGAAAGACAGTTGTGATTACGTTTGAATTTCGCGCCAAGCTACACGAGGGCTATCTGCACTAGCCGTCCCTACTTTAACAGTGAAAGACTACAGGGAAGGCAGCTAGTCAGCACCAGCCACCTCCAACTCTTGGACTACTCTTTTGCCAACGAATAGTGGAGTTGACCGTCATATTATAACGCCTCCATGGTTGAAAGGTCGAGCACGTTTGGTGAGACGGGGATTCGAACCCGTGACCCGCAGGTTGCGAGTCGAGCGCCCTAACCACCTGACCATGCCAGGCCTAGACAGGTGTGAATTTTAAGTTTAAGAACCTAACTTATTTTGTTAATTATATATGTACACTTTTACGGGTGTTATAGAAAAAAAAACGTATAGTAACAACTCAAATTAAATTGCTACCTTTTGTTGTCCTCCAGATTTGATTATCGGAAGTACATTTTAAACAGGAGCCTTAGCGTGGCTTAATGGTTAGCGTGCTGGACTGTGAATCCAAGGAACATGTTTCGCGTCTCATTGTTGAAAAGGAAAAAAATCGTACTCTGCATTTTGGGTGCGTTATATCCATGAAACCTTTTGATTTTAGTAACCTAACAGTTGGTGATGGATGCTGTTACTCATCTGTTTTCCCTCTACCCTATTAGTTCAAAATTAGGGAAGTCTAACGTAGAGAGTTCCTTTGTGTAGCTTTGCGCGAATATCGAAAATGACAAAATGACCCAAACAAAAGAAAAAATTTAATTTAGAAAAAAAAGCAGGAAAATTTCAGAATCTCGTACTTTTTTTTAATACAACAAATTACCGATAGACCTTTGTGGCTTGATCCCAGCGCGAGCTCATAGATTTATCTATTCATCTTCTATACATCCAATGTTTCCTCATTAAAACCAAAACACACGAGTTTGTTTAATGGTCCAATTAACACCATGTTAGTTTGTTTTTTAATGATTCCATCCAATAGGAGACTTCGACTGTATTTAAGGCTTATCATGCTTGATAGTAGCCAGTTTATTAACAACTGTCTCAGTTACAAAAGACCCTAGACTCTTAAAAACATGCCCCTATTTTCACGACAAAAAGAAACACTTAATGTTGTTACTAAATCAGATTTATGATAGAACTTATATTAAGAAGCTGACAGAATAGACATTATATTGAATTATCTGACAAACAGCTAAGCAACTTTACATATTCTGTAATTTGCATTGACAATAACCCTCCTAAAACATAGAAAGTTGATAAAACATAAGGGCAGAAACATAAGGAAAAAGAATTAAAAGATAAATGTTAGCTTATCCTTCTGGTTTAAATTATCTAACAGAGACATTGTCTCCATAATTTCTGTTGTTTCGAGCGAAAAAAAATAAACAATCGCTAGACGATGTTTTCATTCTTCTCAGTCTTAGTTGGCTTTGTTTATAGGCTTCCATTACAAAGGTTATAAACCAGTGAAGAGTAAGGTAAAAGTCTGATTGTCATCCCAATATATACTTTCACACATACACCTACGTCATAAAATTCGTTGTCAAAAAGTTGTCTAAATTGTCTATAAGTAGTGCACCTGTGTTGTCAAATTAAGATGGATAACTCTGGTTCTCCATTCAGACAATGAAACTGTCCGACTTTTACTGCTTCCACCATGAAATTAATACCTAGCTTACTGTTCAGTCATAAAAGAAAAATTGCCTTTCTACCTAGAAACGCGATGCAGCAGGTAACAGACCGACATTGACACAAATTTTGGAATTCAAAGTGGCCATCCATATTTAATTACTTTCTCAAAACAGTATCTAACTTTAAAGACCCAAAAATATTAAAATTAATAACGCTTCATAAGAGGACATTTCTTTCCTTCAAGTAGCCTAAAAAATGTATTTTAGTGTATCCAGACAATTTCTAATGAGGGGAATATCCCTAAGACTCCCTCCGCCTGGGGTGTCCTAAAGATAAGATAATAAGATAAATGCTCGTCTTTACGAAAGGTAGGAGCTGTGAATAATTACATCCCTTTCTATATTTAACTTATTTTCACTTTGAAAAGCTATAATATCATTTAGTCGCTCTTTATCTCCGCCACCGGACATACAGATAAATTTCCGTATTTATTTTTAGGGCCGAATATGACTAACCTGTGTGGCAGAGGTACGCGCTTTACTGAGTACCCCTCTAGTTTACTTTTATTTAGCCTTATTTACTTTACATTTATACAGTAGCAGCTATTAACAAACTTTTTCGTTTCTATATTTACCCCCAAAAATATGGCTGATGACTTAAGGCCATTACGATACATGACAAGAGTTGTATAAAACATAAATATATATATATATATATATTTACAGTTTATCAAAGTGCATCAAGGGTTGTCAAAGTGCACTTATAATAAGCGGAATTGGGCTTGTTTTTTTTAAGTTACTTTAATTTTTTGAGAGTCACAGATTGCGATTTTTTTACCTTGGCCACCGAAGGTGGACGAAGATACGATTTCATCCCTGTGTGTTTGCTTGTGTGTTTGTCAGCAAGATTTCTCGAAAACGACTGAATGGAGTTGGACGAGGGTTTGTATACGTTTGGATTATGACCCAACTTAGAAATGATTAGTTTTTGGAGGATCAAGGTCACAGCAAGGTTATGAAAACCTAAAAAACCCTATCTGTTAACATGGGGACCGATTTTTCACACTATGTTTGCTGTATAATGCAGTCAAAAATTATCAGATTTTGATGATACTTGGTGGACATATGTAGAATATTATTCCTAATTGTCCTGACAAACATGTTCCGTGTCCTTTGATAACAACAGACATATGAACACATTTTCTTATTTTTTGAGAGTCGAATATGATCATTTGCGTGGCGGAGGTATGCACTCTATTGATATAGTTAAAGCTTGTTTTATACTGATGTCGCTTATGTGAACTTTTTTTGTAATAGCTGACTTCAACACAGTAAAATGGTTGTAGGGGTTGATTTCGATGATATATTGGGTCAATGAATAGCTTACACATCATTACAATTGTAGAATCATCCTATCCCCACTCCTGTTCAATTAAAAATATACGCCCACAATTTTGAACTTCTTGGCCCGCCCACATGACACATTCTATATTTCAATTAAGCCGTGCAACTCGCCAGTTTGAGAGTAAACCATAAAAGAACAGTTTCGAAAGTCAATGCTGCTTGTTTCCAAAGGCAGTACCGTACCCCAGTGTAGCTAAGCTAAGTAGGTATGGTGGTTATAACAATACTACAGTGTGGCTCAGTTAACAAGGTATGGTGGTTATAAAAGTACCAAAGTATGGCTCAGCTAACTAGGTATGGTGATTATAACAATACTACAGTGTAGCTCAGTTAACTAGGTATGGTGGTTATAAATGTACCAAAGTATGGCTCAGCTAACTAGGTATGGTGATTATAACAATACTACAGTGTGGGTCATCTAACTAGGTATGGTGGTTATAACAGTACCAAAGTATGGCTTAGCTAACTAGGTATGGTGGTTATAACAATACTACAGTGTGGCTCAGCTAAGTAGGTATGGTGGTTATAACAATACTACAGTGTGGGTCATCTACCTAGGTATGGTGGTTATAACAGTACCAAAGTATGGCTTAGCTAACTAGGTATGGTGGTTATAACAATACTACAATGTGGCTCAACTAATTAGGTATGGTGGTTATAACAGTAGTACAGAGTGGTAGTACAGTTATATGTAGATAGTTTAAACTGTGACTGATTGTCATTCAACCAATCAGGAAGTGCCACACTACACAAGTAAGGTACCCTACAAAAGTACACCCAATCATACTCTACTTAGTAGTAGTAGTCAAGTCTCGTAGAGTTCATAAAATAATGCTGTTAAATGGGTAGAAATCATATTTTTGGATTGTCAATAGTTCTGCATGCGACAAATTGCTGCAAGACTCCAAAGAGGGTATGGGAAGCTGGTA